CTCGCAGGTGCCTCCTCCGCTGGCGCGGGGCTCTCGGCCCACCACCTCCGGGGAGCCTGCCTGTGGCGCAGCCTGCTCGCGCCTGGCTTCACGGCTTATGGAAAGAGCCGGCTGGGATTCCGAAGTTAATGTTCACTCCCAGAGGGCCTGGGGGCACAATGCCTCTCCCTGTCGCCACGGTGATTTCTCTGCCCGGCCGGTAGCCGCCTTTGCCTGCAGCAAGGCGCGGCACTGACTCAGTGGGCGCAACATGACTAGAGCAACATGCCTTGTGCGCAGTAAAAATCTGCGTCTGGTTCGTATTTTTTACAGACGTGGCACAATTATTACAACGGTGGATGCTCACGGCTACAAATTTTAAACTAGCCACTGTTTATCAAACAGTTTCTGCATACCAGGCTCTGTGCCAATCATTTTCCAGGCATTATCTCAGTGAATCTTGCCAGCAACCACGGAGGAAGGCATAGGTCGCTGGCCCGTTGTCCGGACACCACCCCCAAAGCGGAAAGGGATTAAATAACGTCCGCAAGGTCACTTGTCTAGTCAGGGATTGGCCAGAAGACTGTCAGAGTCCAAGTGAGGCGGCGGGAGCGGGATACGCGACGTGGCCTGCGCGCGGTGTGTGGCCCTCGCGCCCCCAGAGGTGGGTCAGGGTTCCAGGCTGCCGAGAAATCGCTGCCCGCTCCCCAACCCCCCTCCCTCCCCGTCTGGGAGAGCTCGGCCGGTCACGCCCCTTTCTGAGCCGGCTCCCTTCTCCGCCGCGGACCGCGAAGGCAGCCCAGTGCCTCGGGGAGGCTCTGGTCATTCAGCGAGGCCATCTGAAGGCGTGTGGTTGGCCCACACCAGAGTTAAAACCAGTGACTCGAGCAGAGCGACAAGATGGCGAAGGCTTGAAGGGAGACTGCCCCAGGGCCAAACCCTGGATTTGCACTGGTCTGCTGCGGCACGGCCGTGGCTCCCCGCGGCCCGGCCGCTTCTCTCCGCCCTCGTTTACCCATCGGGAGCAGGAGGATGGCAGCAGCGCTCTTAGGAGCATGATCGGAATACAGGTCCACGTCCTGGAACTGTAGCTGGTGCCTGGCAACTGCTCGGCAGCGTGTGGCCCGAAGGGCAAGGCACGCCGGTTTGTGGAGCCAGAATGTCTCCGCCAGGGCGCGCAGGGCCACACTGGAGCCAGGCGGAGGAACCGGGAAGCAGGAGAGAAGGGAAAAGGAGAGGCAGAGGCGGGCTCACGTGGACACGGAGAGGCGCACGTGGCGCGGAGACAAAGAGACAGCGACCAGAGTGCAGGCCGGGGGAGAGAGAGAAAGGCCCATCGAAGTCCGGGAGAGATGCAGGACAGAAAACGGGACAGAGATGGCTGCAGGCAGAGAGTGGTCCTCAGAGAGACAAAGCGAGACAGAGACAGAGGAGAGAGAGACACAAGAAGAAAGAGGAGAGGGAAGAGGAGCGGACGGAGGAGGAGACAGTAGTTGGATTGCTGGCTGCCTGTTCTT